CTTGAGATTTTCCAGGCTGAAAGGACATTGACCTTGATCGATAACCATTCGTGGACAATAAAAACGGGGAAATGTGGAATAGGGTGTGGAGAAGGGGAAAAATGGATGAAGGGACGAACTGCAGGGGGGGGGGAGATTTAGGGAGGTTGCTGAAAGGGGTGGAGGCAAATGGGGGTATTGAACCCTGGGATTGGAAATTCATTGAATAATGGTCAAATTTCAGAATGGGGAAGATTAATCGAATTTGAATCATTAAAAAGGAACTTAATAAAATTTGAAATCAACATACCTGATTAGTTTTTATCACAGAGTAATTGAACATGTTTGAATTAGTGAATGAAGTAAATTCCTGAAGATTCATTTTTCTCGTATTATTAGAACGCGATATTTCCCAGCTTATTTGTTAAGTTGTTGGTTATTTTTTTTCAATTTATTTTTTGCAATCTCGTTATTTATTACAGAAGATGTTAGTAAACTAGGAATAAGTTATTTTTTCCATGCTTCTTTTAGAAAATCGTAAAAGTTAAGGGTTCGGAAAAAAAATTATTAAAACTCTTGACAGTTGTTTTTCATCATTAGAATTGGATATGGAACTTTTGGTAAAACTATACGATGCGGAATTTATCTAATGATGAAGATTTAGGTACGAAACTTAGCAAAACAACTACCTTAGAAAAATGGAATTTAATGTTCCCAATGATTTACCATCTGTGTTGTATGCGTTTTGAATTTCGCAAACTGCAGAAAATCACCCTTTTTATCTGTCGATGATTCTATAAGATCTAAAAATATTCAGAGTACAATGCATAACATTTTGCGACACCAGTGTGCCTTTGTGCAAAAGTAGTTATCGAAATACTCCAATCGATTTTCTTCATTCCTAATATTGCAATTTTGACGTGATGAGCGAAGAAGAAAACTAAGATGTAAAAGGGATAGAGGGATGAAAAGGGAGTGACGCTTACGGGCACGGTTAGGTTAGGTTAGAAAGGTAGTAGGCGGTGCAAGAATATCGATTATATGCGACACGCTGCTGCTGCGCTGGCTTTTGCACGGAATGAGAATACTTCAAAAAGCCATTCATTCATTCATTAAAATCCTGACTTACCCTAAACTATTCAAAAGCAATTTCCACCATGTTTTTTCACCCTCAAAATTAATTCATCATTTTAAGATGAATGTTGACGATCGATGAAAGCCTGGGATCAATAATTACTTATGATTGAAGAGGCCCAGAGAAAGTCGAGGGGAATGTAAAAAAATGAATTGTAAAAAATCGACGAACTGAAGCAGGATCTAACATTCACCCAGATCATCAGAGGTCATAGAAAGTCCGCACATGGCTCCATTTCTTCCCACCTCTCATCAGCTAATACCTTCAACCAGTATGTGGGGAGAGTAGTAAAAGTCAAATATAATCATTAAATGATTTTGAATTTTTTTATAAAAATTCAAATTACCATCCTTAGACAACATTAACATATCTACCTGCAATAGAGTATCGAGAATGCGAACTCTATAGCGTGAGGTCACTCCGAATTAGTATACGGTTATATATATATACTTATAAGGATATTATAAGGATATTGCGTTTTGAATTTCTAACATTTCTATTGGGGCTGATGTCTACGTCGTCTGTAAAACTTCCACATTTACACTCAATTATGATGAGTGCAATGGAATAATTTTGCTCCTGGAGTAACACTTTTTGATCTCTACAGTCTTATTTTGTTTTCCGGCAAATGTCTATGAGTTAACGAGTATAGTAACAAACTAGTACATTCCGGCAATGGATCCTGCTTCATGGGCTGACCGAGACAAAATACCTCTCCAGCTCCAAAATGAATCGGGTACACTAAGAGAAAAATCTTCATAATATCACAATAATCATTTCTTGAGCGAAAAACATTGCATACATATTTGATCAATTTATGGTAGGTTACACCCAAGAAATCGATGCTCTCCGGGCTAAGGAGGAAGTTACTGAATGAAAAGGTGATGGCTTTTTCGAAATGAGATTATATTCCTTAAAAGACAAGAATAGTTTGACACAAGGAAGAGAAGATATTGCCTCGCTTCGAACTCAAAGCGATTGAGCATAAGCGACGGTTATAATATCTGGCGCTTTTCCTCTGCGTAAACTCTCTATTCATTCAATTGAAAGTCTGATTCATGATTCACTAAATCGAAGCTTTTAATATTTTTAGTCCTTTGCTCATATTTGGATACGAAAAAACCGATTTCTTGTGGCAAGAAGTTCTCACTTTATCATGAAATGTCCATATTCAAGTCATGAACACTTCACCGAAATCTGACATTGTCTGACACATCTGGAATTCTTATCCCAAGAAACTTATCCTCAATAAATGAGATGTTTGGCGCAAGATTAGTTTTGTGATATTATGACGATATTTCTCTCAGTTTACCTATTTCCCCAAAAATTAGCTGCATGAGAACAATGTGTCAAGTTCCCCAAAAAATTCCTCACATTACGCGTTTAGCACTTTTTAACCTGTGAGCTTCACACATTCGTTTACATGGAATGGAGTTTCCAATGGGAAATACCCCATGATTGTTCAGCTCTCAGGTTATGACTTCCTGATTATCGATGTCTGAGGAGGGTGGCGGTAAAGTTCTACTTGGAATTCCTTCACCCACATAAAAAGTCTTCTGTCACCATTTACGTCTGAAATAATTGTATCTTTAACAGTATAGATTTGTTTACTTATGGGTGATTTGAATAGTATTTCGCCTCCGGACACGAAAATCTTTATGCTAATAATCATTTTCTTTTTTTCAAAGGAGATGAATTGTTGCATTTGGTTGTACCCTCTGACCATTATAAAAGTTCCAGAGGGTCACATTCATCTAATTATTATTTTAATGAAACCGTACACATTTGTGCATTTGACAGATGTACAGATAACACTCCATTCCTAGATGTGTGTTCCAAAAATTTGAATCAAATAGAGCAACCCACGCAGGCGCACATTAAACACGTGATGAAGTCTTGTGTACGTGTCTCTCTCCGCAACACATCAGTCTGAACTAACCTGTTAGCATAAACTCGAGGTTATACATACGACGGCAGAGTCAAGTTCAATAAGCTACTATGTCGTTTCAGCATTATTCCACTGCTTTTCATTCTCGATTCTTTAAAATGGTTTCATCAATGAATAAAAAAGCTGACGTCTCTGTTGCATAACATATAATCAAGACTTGAGCATATGTTTCGTACACATAGACGAATCAGCGCCATCTATTTGGGGTTCAACATAGACAATGGTTATGGGGTTGAACGCCAAATACCCAAGTAGGATTTTAGTATTGGTCGAGCCTTGGTCCAAGCTTGGTATGCCAATCGCCAGTAGTGGCCGGCTATTGGCAAATTGAATGGTCGATCATTGGTCCGACATTTGGATGATAACGCCGGGCCGACAATGGCTAACAATAATAGACCAAGCATTGGGATCATGTCGGGCCCAATTAAGGTTGCAGTCTTGGCCCACAATTGGACCAAGGCTGGTGTGCCAAGTACCAATATTGGCCAATTATAGACCAATCAATTGGTTTGTTATTGGCCCAATATGTGGATGATAACACTGGCCCATAAGTGTACAATTGTAAGGGCCATGTCACGGGCCCAAGTAAGGTTCCAGTATCGGTCAATAATTGGTCCAATATTAGTACACTAAATTCCAATATTGGCCGTTTAATTATTCCATCCTGGATCCAACGTTCAAATAATATGTGGCCATTAGTAGCAAATTCCAGTGAGCCAATTAATAGTGCTGCGCTACGGACCTGCGCTACTATTAATGGATAATTTTTCTACAAGTTTGTCTCAATCAGTTTCACTGTAATTCTGTCAATTATTCTTCCAATCGATCATTTATTTTCAGATATTCTGTTACAAGAAGAAAACGTTTTTCATAATGCAAAGTTTCTTTTAATTATTATTAATTATTATTCATTTCTTTTAATTATTATTAAAATGGCTTAGCATCACCACAGTAAATTCCCGCGACAAATGGTTTTGTTTTATAATTGAAATGGTGCACTTTAATGGCGATTGGCCATACGGTCTTCGTAGAATTTTTGTAGACTTGCATACCATCTATGTGCACAAAAACTGAAATAGTGTCTTCAGCATATATATCCGGTCGAATAACTTTCCTCAACCCTGCCTTAATACCTAACCATGAATATTCTCCTTGGAGGAACTCGTTTGCAATTACAGAAGCAGTTGTCATGGCCTTCAGAGGTCTATTGTTCTTTATGCCAATGAGAGTTTGAGCTGTTTTGGGTAATTCAGTGTGACCTACTCTTCGTAGTGACACCAGTAAGTCAGACACCACAGTAAGTGTCAGATTATCCAAATTTCGCAGCGTCCATAGTCGAATTTCTTCTTTCAAGTCTACTAACAAGTTCGTCTCGCTCACTATAACATGCACATCTCCAGAACTGTTCTCAGGTTGTTCTTCCAATGAATTGATGGGTCGAAGGTCACAAGGTTCCACCACTTGTTCCAGGAGCACTTCAGTATTTTTAGAACTTAATTCAGGATCTTGAGTGAGCACTGAGTTAACCTCTAAATTTGCACAGTTTTTTATTACACTGTTACGATCAATATTGTCTGAATCATCATAACTACATTCTGTGTTGGAATTATTGATACACTTCTCAGATTCCTCCTTTAATTTTTTTAGTATTCGATGTTTTTTTAAACGATAATACCTGGACGACATTTTTTAATTTACGACTAAATTGTTTTGTTCAATCGTCCATTTCCAGCCACATATCATACGCAAGAATTCCACGCGGTTGGCCACACTGGATCTAGAAATTTTCATGCCTAAACTCTAGTTTTTTTCATTTTTTCATTGACTTAACGAAGCAGTGATAAATCAATTTTTCTGTCCCAGTATTTATGCAATTGATTTAATGTTAGTCTAGTATTTGACCGCCAATGATTCGCGACTCTACTCATGGNACTCACTTTATCCCATTCCGGGCGATCATCACGCCACGAGAGTCTCTCCTTTACTGCAACGTGCGTTCCAACATAAAAAATCTTAAAGCCCCTGGAAAACCAATTTTATACATGAACAAATCCAACAGTTATCATCGAATGAAGTTCCACAAATGCAACAACATTGAAGAACATCATAGTGATCACAAGTGTAGTGTTAAAAATCAAAAATCCCCACTCTAATCCTCACAAACATCAAATTAATAAATTAATCAATTTGTGAAGTTTATTAATCAGTAATTGAATTATTTTTATCAACGATCGTAAAAATCTGATAAAAATTTCAAACATGTCGGTGAGAATGGAAAATGTCGCCGCACCGAGAAAGCTCAACTACAAAGTGATGGTGAGTGTAATTTCCTCAATTCATCGTTAAACAACGAAACTAAAAAATTGCCAAATCCAAGAAAAGATAACTGTGAATCAACGGCAAAACATTTTGCGAAAATCTGTGAATTATTTTGCTGATTTTTCACGGACACGGGAAAAATGAGGGGAGGCGTGCGATGGCCGATAGATCGTTGGGAAACCGGCGTAGTTTGACAGCTTGCCGCGGGGCGTCTACTGTCCCACCCATCCCCCTCCCCCTCCGCACTCCCATCATTTCCCCTCACCGCTCTTCATCCGTTGATTTTTACATTTTTTAATGCACTTAACAACTAAGCAAGAGCAGGACAGAACGAAGTAAAAAAGGAAAATTTACTCAGTGGTTATCAAAAATATTTTTTCAAAAGGGGGGAGAGGGAAGTAAACACGGTTTTGTCTACACGATTGCATTCCACGGAGGGGGGAATAAAGTGGGGAGAGGGAGAATTTTTTTTTTATTTTAATATTTTACACTTCCGGTCGCACGAAACGAGATCTGATGCGAGGAAGTTGTCTATTTAAGTCTTCCAACTCTCCCTTCGGAATTCTTCAAACAACTCTTTTCTCTTTGAATTTTTACAGGAACCTTTTTAAAAGTTGTTCATTCACTTGATTTGATTTTCACTAATTCATTGGGGTAGGGTGCATTTATTTGAGGCGGGTGGAATCAGGGGGATAGACGCATGGAGAATTGATCCAAAACGGTCGAGACGTGAGTGTCACGTGATCGTGGAATTCACCGGGTGTAGTTAAGTTTGTTGAGTTTCTAGTGTGTGAGTGAGAATCAACGGAATGAGTTTATCCGGTGGTTAGGTGTGTGGAGGGATAAGTGACGTTTCTATGGATGGGTGAGGTACAGATTGATGATGTATCAATTTTCTTTTGAGAAAGAGTGGGAGCCGACCGGAATTTGTGCACGTTTTTTGTGGATTGAGGAGTTCTCACTATTTCACCTTGTAAAGAAAATTCTAATAAGAGTAAATTTAGAGCAAATATCAAGCGACAATTTCTGTGAAGAATTGCGAATTTCGTTGTAGTATTTTTCTTTCAGAAACGATTTCAATCAAAATTGTGGACAAGTAAAGACAAAGTGAAAGCTCATGCTTATTATCTTCTCTATGGGGCCATTACAATTAACAGGAAATATCCAAAAACATGTTTTGTAGATTACACTTGACAGTTTCTCATAGAGGACATATCTTCTTGATGATTTCTGACAGCTGTTTTAATTTTTTTCATTGAGAAGGGGTAATGAAACTGGGGAATCCCTGGAGTTGTCCTACTGACAGTAGCAGCTGTTGTCCTGACACAATCCTCTTATTGACTGTCGCCATTGTTGATTTTTATTTCTGCACTATGATAACATATGTTTCTAATCGATCCCAATTATACGATGAGAAAGAAACTTACATTAGGAATTGTCGTGTAAATTATTCTGTGAGTATATATTTAAAAATTGTATATTTTTATAGGAAAATGTCTTGAGATATTTATTTTTAAGAATGGTATATTTTAAAACTACCTCCCTACAAAAATTCATTGAAACGTGTAAAATACATTGTTAGGTCTCTAGAGTGCCGGACCGGTCACAGTTTTGCAAATAATCCGCTCGTGATTTATTTGCTGTAAACCTGAAGAAATCTGAAGCCAAAACATCTCATTTATGAAGCTGAAACTAGCGAAAGATTCGTGTTAGGCCAATTTAGGGATGTACAAATATTTTTAAGTAAGGTAGAAACTCTTTTGCACCCAAAAAACATTTGTACATATGATTGATTAACTGTCACAGCCTCAAAAATCTTTTGAATTGAATTGTCCGCTAGCGAATATTTCGCTAGTTTCAGCTTCCTATCTCATTCTCATTATTTACTAAACATCCTCGAAATTTTTCACAAAAAGGTCTCCTCACTTTTCTCCAAACCCGCGCGTTTCTTCTCAATTATAAACGTTGCAAATTCCCACGAAAATGATTTATTCGCTAAAGTTGAATTCCGTTGGAGCACATTTTCATTAGATCGAGAATAGCGAATCCTTCCCCTTCCCTTTTATGCAGGAAGAATTGACTTCTCTCTTTCCTTTTTTCTCTCTCGTTCCACTAGCGAAGGCCAAGGCGGTTCTCTCGCCGGCCGGTCTTGTCCGCTCGATTGCTCGCATTTTCAAGATGGATTCTTGCCTCTGTACTGGTCGGTTGCCTCTCCCCTCCAATTTGGTCTTCCTCTCGCTCTTTTCTCTCTTTAGCAATCCTGAAACATAGACATATAACCCGGGAACTCTCCCCCCTCTTTTGATTCCTGTACCGTATGTCTTCTTCATTGGAATTTTTAAATGAAAAGAAAAGATATCTTTTCGCACAACCATGTATATAAGTTGTACTGCAAGTTGACACGTCTTGAGATTTTCCAGGCTGAAAGGACATTGACCTTGATCGATAACCATTCGTGGACAATAAAAACGGGGAAATGTGGAATAGGGTGTGGAGAAGGGGAAAAATGGATGAAGGGACGAACTGCAGGGGGGGGGGAGATTTAGGGAGGTTGCTGAAAGGGGTGGAGGCAAATGGGGGTATTGAACCCTGGGATTGGAAATTCATTGAATAATGGTCAAATTTCAGAATGGGGAAGATTAATCGAATTTGAATCATTAAAAAGGAACTTAATAAAATTTGAAATCAACATACCTGATTAGTTTTTATCACAGAGTAATTGAACATGTTTGAATTAGTGAATGAAGTAAATTCCTGAAGATTCATTTTTCTCGTATTATTAGAACGCGATATTTCCCAGCTTATTTGTTAAGTTGTTGGTTATTTTTTTTCAATTTATTTTTTGCAATCTCGTTATTTATTACAGAAGATGTTAGTAAACTAGGAATAAGTTATTTTTTCCATGCTTCTTTTAGAAAATCGTAAAAGTTAAGGGTTCGGAAAAAAAATTATTAAAACTCTTGACAGTTGTTTTTCATCATTAGAATTGGATATGGAACTTTTGGTAAAACTATACGATGCGGAATTTATCTAATGATGAAGATTTAGGTACGAAACTTAGCAAAACAACTACCTTAGAAAAATGGAATTTAATGTTCCCAATGATTTACCATCTGTGTTGTATGCGTTTTGAATTTCGCAAACTGCAGAAAATCACCCTTTTTATCTGTCGATGATTCTATAAGATCTAAAAATATTCAGAGTACAATGCATAACATTTTGCGACACCAGTGTGCCTTTGTGCAAAAGTAGTTATCGAAATACTCCAATCGATTTTCTTCATTCCTAATATTGCAATTTTGACGTGATGAGCGAAGAAGAAAACTAAGATGTAAAAGGGATAGAGGGATGAAAAGGGAGTGACGCTTACGGGCACGGTTAGGTTAGGTTAGAAAGGTAGTAGGCGGTGCAAGAATATCGATTATATGCGACACGCTGCTGCTGCGCTGGCTTTTGCACGGAATGAGAATACTTCAAAAAGCCATTCATTCATTCATTAAAATCCTGACTTACCCTAAACTATTCAAAAGCAATTTCCACCATGTTTTTTCACCCTCAAAATTAATTCATCATTTTAAGATGAATGTTGACGATCGATGAAAGCCTGGGATCAATAATTACTTATGATTGAAGAGGCCCAGAGAAAGTCGAGGGGAATGTAAAAAAATGAATTGTAAAAAATCGACGAACTGAAGCAGGATCTAACATTCACCCAGATCATCAGAGGTCATAGAAAGTCCGCACATGGCTCCATTTCTTCCCACCTCTCATCAGCTAATACCTTCAACCAGTATGTGGGGAGAGTAGTAAAAGTCAAATATAATCATTAAATGATTTTGAATTTTTTTATAAAAATTCAAATTACCATCCTTAGACAACATTAACATATCTACCTGCAATAGAGTATCGAGAATGCGAACTCTATAGCGTGAGGTCACTCCGAATTAGTATACGGTTATATATATATACTTATAAGGATATTATAAGGATATTGCGTTTTGAATTTCTAACATTTCTATTGGGGCTGATGTCTACGTCGTCTGTAAAACTTCCACATTTACACTCAATTATGATGAGTGCAATGGAATAATTTTGCTCCTGGAGTAACACTTTTTGATCTCTACAGTCTTATTTTGTTTTCCGGCAAATGTCTATGAGTTAACGAGTATAGTAACAAACTAGTACATTCCGGCAATGGATCCTGCTTCATGGGCTGACCGAGACAAAATACCTCTCCAGCTCCAAAATGAATCGGGTACACTAAGAGAAAAATCTTCATAATATCACAATAATCATTTCTTGAGCGAAAAACATTGCATACATATTTGATCAATTTATGGTAGGTTACACCCAAGAAATCGATGCTCTCCGGGCTAAGGAGGAAGTTACTGAATGAAAAGGTGATGGCTTTTTCGAAATGAGATTATATTCCTTAAAAGACAAGAATAGTTTGACACAAGGAAGAGAAGATATTGCCTCGCTTCGAACTCAAAGCGATTGAGCATAAGCGACGGTTATAATATCTGGCGCTTTTCCTCTGCGTAAACTCTCTATTCATTCAATTGAAAGTCTGATTCATGATTCACTAAATCGAAGCTTTTAATATTTTTAGTCCTTTGCTCATATTTGGATACGAAAAAACCGATTTCTTGTGGCAAGAAGTTCTCACTTTATCATGAAATGTCCATATTCAAGTCATGAACACTTCACCGAAATCTGACATTGTCTGACACATCTGGAATTCTTATCCCAAGAAACTTATCCTCAATAAATGAGATGTTTGGCGCAAGATTAGTTTTGTGATATTATGACGATATTTCTCTCAGTTTACCTATTTCCCCAAAAATTAGCTGCATGAGAACAATGTGTCAAGTTCCCCAAAAAATTCCTCACATTACGCGTTTAGCACTTTTTAACCTGTGAGCTTCACACATTCGTTTACATGGAATGGAGTTTCCAATGGGAAATACCCCATGATTGTTCAGCTCTCAGGTTAT